CAAGCATGTCAGCGCACGTCATTTTGGCCACTTTTGAGCCAAGACCCGCCCCCACTGGTTTTTTCCCATCGCAGGGCAGTACGTCAGATTGACTAAACTCATGCGGCTGAAATATAGTGAATACGCATCCATACCTCCATCAACACAAGTCCATGCATCAGCGGTGACAATCCCACTGTATAAGTGATGCTAACGAAGCAGAGAAGCACGGAGGGGGTGCCGAAAGAACCACTACAACTGTGGTGAGATACCGTGCCACCACACTACTCCTAGTTTGCTACTAAGAAAGAGTGAAGTTAGAAGTTAATTATTTCTCACAGAAACAGGTTACAGGTAGAAAAGTTGATTCGAAAAAGGTTTTGCTGGCTGTTTGTCTCTATATTAGTTATATTGTTATATATATTCCCATTAGGTTTGCAATTATTTGTATACATCTATTCCATCTACTGCTGTTTGTCGGAGAGTGGGATTTAGATTGTAGAATGTGCGATTGATTTAATTTAATTCTGATCACCGAGCAATTCTTATGAACAATACAGTGCGATTTACAAACTAACATTGACACTATTTCACCCTTTACATAATATTTTTTTTTTTGCAGTCTAAACACTACAGCACAGTACTGTTCAGTGAAGCCACAGCCACTTATTATATCATTTAAACGGTTGGTGTAAGCTACTGAGAATCCTCAATGAATCCAAGACGTTACAAATAGATCAAATATCTATGATCGCGATATGGGGGTGATTGTTTTTCTGATTTTTCTGAGGTCTCTCTTCTTCTTGTCCACAGGTCTGGATTTACTGCTGTCTTGAGGTTAATTTTAGCACAGAGGCAAAAATAGTCAAGAGAGAGGATTACGTCATCGTCAGGGCCTACCTCCAAATGATTCAGCACATTCTGTCTCGCAACGAAACAGTCTGTGGGCAGTTTAACATGATTGTCTGAATAATAAATGTTTAATTTCCTCTCACAGTTGTCTTCTTATTACATTTTACTGCAGAGCGCTCAGTCCGAATGAAATGTGAGGCTTTGGATGTGATCATTTCCCGAGGTGTTTCCAGCTCTGCCACAGCGACAGCAGATTTAACACTTTAATTACAAGTCGAAGGGTTTTCAAATTAGATGGCGCGATGTTCAGTTAGGACAATATCTTTTCTAGTTCACTTCTTCTTGTAGGGTGGAAAAGTAAGGAAAAAAACCCTTTCTTTAGGAAATCACGTCTTCTGAATATTATGTAGTGACTTGGGGGTGCAGCAATGGGGCTTCATGAGTTGGGCCCCTTCCTGTGTCTCATTGCAAGATTTTTTTACCTCCATAAATCCATCCAGCACGAGTCTCGCGCCCCCAGATCTCGACAACCGGGTGAGATTTACAGCCTCTTTCTTCCACGCAACTCATCCCAGCTTCATCCCAGCTCCTCACACACAGACGCACAAAGGCCGTAAACCAGTCCTCACTGCTCCTCGCCTCAACACTGTCAAATTGTTCAGATATAGATGGTAGGTGGTAGTTGTTTTTTTTTTGTCCTCACAGATAAAACCGCATGGACAATAATACGAATGACATCTTTAATCTAAAACTCAGCATAAAGTTATACAATAAATATGGATTGTTCAATGGCCAGACGTGCATTGGACACCTTGTTGTTTAAATCTGTTGTTGTTCTTCTTGCCCGTCTCTTGATCCAAAGAGCACCTGGTCTGCTGATCTGTCGAGCATCTCTCCATAAAATGTGTGTTGTTTGGTGTACACAAAGTAAGTCTTAGTTTAAAAACTTTAGATCCACATTAGAGGCGTATAAAAGTCTATAGATCAGAGGTTTCGACATTATTTTGGTCTGGGGCTGATTTTTAGACTACACTTTTATTTCAAGATGTCTCTCATTCTCTTGCTAGAAAGTTTAAAGCTCTTTTGCATTGTGGGATTGCATTTTTGTTTACAATATTCTGACCCAAAGGACTTCTTTAAAACATACATTTAAAATATTGATTGCCTGTAGCCAGTTGTTGACTTTGAACAAATTTGAGGAATGACCAAAGGAAATCCTAGTGAAGTAAATAAGGTAAATTATGAACTTTACAGCAATTTTTTAATTATTTGTGTTCCATGGGTTGTAAACGATTGGTTCTGGCTTCAGGAAATCTAATTATTAGTACTTGAAGTTGACCAAATAATGTGTATAAACAGTAAGAAAAATACAATTGTGCCACATTTAATCCTTGTTACCCTATAAGAGAAATAGTGCTCTCACCACACCTTGTGCACCGCAGCGTTGCAGATGCAGAGAAATAAATCTTTAAAGCACTGCGCCCTGCTCCACACACAGATGCTGGGAGGATGTGGCCCTCACTGGTGGCGGTCCAGGAGAGACACAATAATCACATCCACACATCTGAACCAAGGCCTCTGGCTCTGGGGCTCTGAGGGGGCAAGGAGGTCACTGCACTGCGGATCCATCATGTGTCTGTGGTCAAGACAACAGGTCAAGGTCAGGCCAAGACAGTGGAAGGCTGGTACCATGCATTATGTTGGTGTAAAATCTGCCCAAAGGTTACTCTTGTGACTACATACTGTTAATGTGATCACAATTATCCACTCATCAAAAGCAGATAAGAACTGGTTCAGGTCTAAAACTGTGCCCATGCTGTATGTAACATGGACATGAAGAGCAAGTGAGAAAAACACAGCATAAGCGTCAGATAGGTAATTCTGCAAAGTACCACAACAGTACGACAATGCTTTCCAAAATATATTACGATTATGATTACATCTGTTAAGTCAATTACACATTCAGTCAGGATGGATAAAAGTAAACCTATACATTCAGAAAGCTGGCACCAGAACTGAGACCTGAACTTGAAGTTTAGTGGATGATAGTAAGTAAGTGTATTGTTGTAAGATGTAACACAAATTCTGTTCTGTTCTCAATCCCACTGATCATGGCAGCACCTGTTCAGGTTCCTCTTTCTGTGAGATAGGATTGCTTAGGTGAAACTCGAAAAATTATGATGTCGCACAAAAGTCTATTTACTTCTGTAATTATAATGTGAAACTGATATATGATCGACTCATTACACACAACGTGAGATATATCACACATTAGTCTCATTCTAGGCAAAGGCGGGTGAAGTGTCTTGCCTAAGGACACACGACAGTTTGGCACTTTCCAGTCGCCCCACTGTGGCACCTGGTGTTTCCAGAGGTCTCCCATCACAGAACTATCCAGGCCCTGTTATGCACTGCTTCAAAGGTCTGACGGGATCTGGCTTTCATATACAAGTATGGCCACAATATAGAACACATATTGGTTTTACCTTTTAAGTTTAATTACAGAATATTTACTTTTAAACAATTTAGTAACTAATCTTTATTTATACAGCGCCTTTCACAGACCAGAGTCACAAAGAGATTCACAATTGTTGTGGGATTTTGTCTTTCACTCCACACATGGGAATAGTGTCGCCATACAGGAGGTGCATACCAGACCTATTGTACAAGGATTTAGTTTTAGACACGGGAAGAAAGGTCTGAAGGCACTGCACCACCGGGCCACCAGGAAACCATTATTTGTCCCACAATATGGAGTACTCATACTTTTGCAGCTCCCAAAAAATCTAACTTTGCTTATGTCATTCTTTGGTTGATAAAAAGCACATTAGACAAAGGTCATCCTCATTCATGTCACATCTTTATTGATGGAGTGTATAGCAAGCACAGCAAGGAAGCTTATTCAACTACATTCAACCCTATACACATTTGCCATCACAGCAGCAATCGCAAAACAGCTTTCAAAATGCACAAAATCATACACGTATCACACATGGTCTAAAAGAAGCTGCTGGTGTTTAAGGCATTTCACTTTCTAGATATTTAATGCGCAGTTACTAATGATGCAAACCCGTCTATTGTGTAGTAGTGTGTGTGAGACCTTAGCTTGGCAGTGCTGCAGTTGTGAGGTTTAAAGTCTTTGAAGAAAAAACACATATACACACACAGACAAACTGACGAGGTTACCAATCCTTCCGATATTAAGTTACATTCTGATTTGTGTCTAAGACCTAACTCTGTTCAAAGCTACTTACTACTACGATCAAAGAGGACTTTTTCACAAATAGGGAATCTGGCACTGTTTCCATTCGGTGCAGTATGTGGAGCAGCAACACACAAACATTTATAGTGAAAAGAAGGTGCACATCGGTAATTTCAAGTGGTGATTTCATACAAAGACCTTCAAGTCCAGAAATGTTGTCTGTTTAATTCAATTTGTGCAGTGATTTCTTTGTTTCTTCAATTGAAAGGTTCTTATCATGCAACCTCATCCCTCTGATCTCAACAGCACCAGTAAAAGTACCTATACTAAGTGATATGTGAAGTTCATAAGTTGCTGGCTCTGTAAAAACCTCTTTGAATGTGCTTAATGCAGTTGTTTAACGAGGAAAGGACAACATTGTTTGCATGATGAGATGGTGGACTACATGCAACTACACACACCATGCATTTGTTGCATTGCTTAGATTGCTCTGAAAGTCTAATACTAAGTTAATGGGTGAGGATTTGAGATGTGTGATATAATTGCAATCCTTAATGTATCAATGAGAGTGCCATTATATACTTAATTTTGTCTCAGGATGCTTTTATAGATGTTAAACTTCATAGACTTTGTGCTTATGGTTTCTGTACGTGCATATGTGACCAACCTAAACAGTTGATACCTCTCACTTCCTACTTGTGCTAGTCAATGAGTCACAATGTAGCTTCAGTGAGTCATTTAGGTGCATTTATGTAATGATTATTGTTGAAAATTCCCTGTTTGGGAAATATATATGTGGGTTAGATAGGAACGGGTGGAAAGCTTACACTTGCACTTTTCTCCACATTCAACACTTCTCACACTTCACAAAACCGGTCAAGACTCCCCAGTGCTTAGTGAAGAGGCTCTGGGGTGGGGTACAGAGGTAAAGGGAGACCTAAGGGCTAAACAAATTACTCCTTTCTCGTTAGTTTTTCTGAGCTGGAGGTGCGGGGCTGGCTTCAGGCTGCTTCTCTGTCTTCTTGGTGGTGACAATGGTCTCCTCATAAACATGGGACACCTTGGCTGTGGTCTTCTGAGGTGGTTCCTCATTTTTGCTCTCTTTCTTGATACCTTTACTGGGGCTGGAGTACATCTGGGAAGAGTATCCATAGCTATGCATTCCTCCGCTGGTGATGGAGGGGGAGGAGTAGGTGATTCCTCCTCCTGTCCCGATGCGGGTCTCCTCTCCCTCAAGCAGCTTCCTACACACATAAACAAGACACTCCCTCAGTGTGTGTACTGTCTTTTTTTTGTCATGTCATGTTATTAAGTCAAAAAAAATAGAACAATATATATATATATATATATATATATATATATATATATATATATATATATATATATATATACATATACTATTTGGTTATCAGAGTTAGGAACATACCTATATGCTGCAATTTCTATATCCAATGCCATCTTAACATTCAGCAGATCCTGGTATTCTCTCAGATGACGTGCCATCTCGCTCTTGGTGGACCTCAATTCATTTTCGAGGTCTACCATGTTGTCCTAATTAACGTGAAGAAAGGATGCAATCAATGTCAAGAGATTTACACTTGCAATCAACCTACAGCAATCAGAGCATAAATCATGTTCTCAGGAGTTGTCTTTTAGTCGTTTAGTAAAAGTTTACAATCCTTGCTGTGAGGTATTTTCTATAATAATGCAATAGACCTCTAGCATTAAAAAACAAAACAACAACATATAAATATAATTTTAAAATCGAGTAAACAACGAGTGGGCGTTGTCAACCGCAGGTGCCTTTGTCCCTGAAGAAAGCCATTCAGCACCATGGACAGCGCCCACTCCTTCAGCAATATGTGGTTGCTTTTTACCTGGTATCCTGCAATTTCCATCGAGTGTCTGTCTTCCATCTCACGAAGCTGCTTCTCCAGAGACTCGTTGGTGCCCCTCAGACCCTCAATCTCAATGGTTCTAGACTGCAGCTGCCTGCGGAACTCGTTAATTTCTTCTCTGCTCGCACGGATCGCCTCGTTGCCGCGGTTTGCTTGCTGAGACAAGTCTGCAAACTTGGTCTTGTACCATTCTTCTGCAGACTGCATGTTCTTAGAGGCCATGGACTCATACTGCCCGCGGATCTCCTTAAGGGCGGAGGTTAGGTCTGGTTTGGCCACCTCCATCTCCACAGAGATCTGCGCTGCCTGGATCATGTCGGTCAGCTCGGCGACCTCCTCCTCGTGCACCTTACGGAGGAAGTTGATTTCGTCCAGCAGAGACTCGACCTTCTTCTCCAGGTCCAGGCGCACCATCGTGGCATCGTCCACATCTTTCTTGAAAGCCTTGAGCGCAGACTCTGCGTCCTCTCGCGCGCGGAACTCTTCTTCGAACTTGATTCGGACTTTCTGGAGCTCGTCCTCCACGTTGTCCCTGTCGACCAGGAGCTGGGATTTCTCTCCGTTGAGTTCCTCTACATTTGAGCGCAGCTCGCGGATCTCCTGCTGGTATAGCTCAGCCAAGCGGGACGGCTCACTCTGCTTCTGGCGCAGCGTCACCAGCTCCGTCTCCAGAACCTTGTTCTGCTGCTCCAAGTTACGCACTTTTTCAATAAACATCGCAAAACGGTCGTTTAAACCTTGCATCTGCTCCTTTTCATTCGTGCGGACGATTTTAAACTCGTTATTTAGAATATTACTCTGATTGAAGTCAAAGCTCTCAATAGGCATAGAGTAAGTGCGACCCCCGGACTTTCTCTCATAGCTCATAGATGAGGCGCTGCTCCGGGACCCAGCTGCGGAGCGGTAACCCCCGCGTGAAGACATCGTGGTCCGTGCTGGGGAAGAAGAATAACGGGGAGATTCCCCGAAAATTCTTCGGTAAGAAGAGGAGGAAAAGGAGTCAGATCCGTAACTCATCTTGGCTCGTCTGGAGAAGAGCAGTGGGCGCGCCCCCCTTTTATACAGCCCCAGTGAATCTCTAATTAATACCACTATACGCCTATAGGCCGCGGGCTCACGTCACTTTGACAACACTGTAACTGTCTTTTAACGCAACAGTTTGTCAATGACGTAATTTGAATCGCATTAGTGATATAAATGCACTTCGGACTTGGATCTTTGTTTGTGAAACTGTGACAATAGAGTCACTTTCATTTAGGCACAACACAAATGCACAAAGTTATTTTGAGATGTATTGATAAGCTCTGTGGTTTTACCCGTCTAAGTTCCAATAAAAACTGCTCAATAGAGTTTGTCCTTCAACTCAATTCACAACTTCAAACCATACTCTTCAGACTGCAGGAAGCATATGAGTTTGCTGCCCCCTGTTGTCCATGCACAGTCCTCACACCTGCATTGACCAAGCGCATGTTGCTATGAAAACCAAATACTGTTGAGGTCCATCATATTTGTCTTTCCAAACCAAACCGATTTGAAACCAGTGTATTAAAACATTTCGACAAACTGTAGTGAAGCATATACATACTAAGGTGCAATTGATAATAATCAAAGTTGAGTGAAGAAGCTTTTACACAGAGATACTGCTGCTTATTTACAATTTAATTTCCCAAAAAATGTACTATATAAAGAATAGACTTATTTTATCTTTTATCACAACCAAGACATGTTTTCATTCTTCTCATTATCATTATCAGTAGCAGTAGCAGTAGCAGTAGCAGTATCAGTAGCAGTAGTAGTAGTAGTAGTAGTAGTATAATAATAATATGAGCGCAGTTTCAGTTGACCTCACTTTGTGAAGAAGATGTTCTGCAGGTCCATCCTTCCTGCTGCTGTCAGACTGTACAACAAACAATGAGGACTAATGAACACTGCCAACATGATCTCACATGTCAGATGTAAACATACTGCTGCTAACGTGTACAGGTAACATATAACTTCATATCACTTGCACTATAATACACAGTACTTTATACTTGCCTCTTTTTTGCCAAATGTAAAAAAAATATACTTCTTTATTATGTTAAAGGTAGAGATTTTATACTTGTTTCTTTGATGCTAGACATAGAGATTTTGTTTTATTTTAATTAGTATAGTTATTGTTCACGTATCTTGTGCTGTGTGCTCCTCATTCCATTTGTGATGCAATTAATATATAAGTCTATGGATGCAACACTGAAATCTTCCCGCTGTGGGACGAATAAAAGATTTTAATAATAATATTAGTAATAACAAGAACCATAATACAATATACATTACCACTAGAAAACTAATAAAAATAATAATAACAATAAGGATAACAATTTATTTATTTAATGGTTTATTAAAGGGACAGTGCGTAAAATACATTATACATGTTAATATGCCAGAAAAAGCCTAAGGACTACTTTCTATCTGTAGTCCCAGTACAGTTGTTATGTGTCCTCCTGAAGGGAATGAAATTACACATAACACAATCATTATTATCATCTTTATTTATCCAACTGATAAAAAATGACAAAAGTGAAACAGGGCAATACATAGTTCCCACATGACGTCACTACATACGGGGATTTGCCGACCCGGCGCCATTTGTCTTGGCATTCTGTGGGCAAAACAATAGAAAAAGAAGCTGAAACGTGTTAATGTCGTGATAAAGTTGAAAATGGTCATCTCCTGCTGGGTCAATGGATGTTCAAATCGTGCCGGAGGTTCCGTTAAACTTGGATTTTACAGTATACCCATCATTAGACTTCATGAATGTGAGAAGACTAAGCTTTTGTCAGAACAACCACGGAGGTTATGGCTTGCGAAGATAAACAGGCAAGAAACTCCCTCAAAACACGCAAGAATATGCTCGGAGCACTTTGTGTCAGGTGCGTATCGTATCTCATAATGTGTTGACAGACGTAATTTACTCAGTACTAACTTGTGTATGCTGATATCTGGTAACTTGAGAGTTTCATTATTTAGATTACTTTATTATGAGGAGGATCGGTGTCGCGTCCGAGGCTCTCGAGGGCAACGTAAATGTATTAAATAGATAAAAATAGTTCTATGGTGGGCTAAAACAATGTTCACAAACAGCATTGCTTCTGTAAAAAGATCTGTGTCATAAAATAAACTGCTCTTTACGCCTGGAAAAATCAGTTGCCCACCATTCACCAAAACATACGGTCAAAAACGCGGAAATAAACAATAACAGCAATCCAGAGTGTCCGTGTGGCATTAGCATTAATTAAATTAATTAATATAATTAAAATAATTAAATGGAGCTCCAATTGGTATTAAATCTAAAGTTTTTGAGAAATGTTTGCATTGCTTGTTAATTTTTGCTGCATAATTTGATCAAATATGTAAAACATGTCCGTAGCACGTTAAACTGTGGTGCCATTGTATTAATATACAATTATTTGCTCAAAAGTTGCCCTTTTTTTTCCAATTTGCGTTTGAATATCTACATTTATTCTCATTCTTCTGTTTAATGGAATGCACAAACACAGCAGCGTGCCATCAAAGATGGCGTCTCCGAGGAGGTCATGTGACATTCATTGGTCTGTGGGAACTATGTATTCCATCAAATCAATCGGAAACACGAGTGACCCGGTTCAGTTTGTACCCGCCCCCTGCAGCCGCTGATGAGTGAAGACGTTGAGAAAGTTGACCAAGGCTTCACACCAAAAAAACCAACTCCACAGTCAAATTATTCGAAACCTTAATACATCAACCATAAAGACTCACGTCTCCCTTTAATGCCCCCCTATTCTAATTTCAATATCTATTCTTTCTCTCTAATATTTTTTTCATTTAATTTATTTTCATTTCGTACATGCCAAGTTACAAGACTTAACCAAACAAGATACTCAGACAAATTGTATATATAAGTACACAACAAAAGCACCAAGATAAATAGTAATAATGTTCAGTTTAACATAGAAGTATACGTAAATAAAATAATCGTAATAATAATAATAATAATAATAATAATAATAATAATACATTGTCTTGTTTCATGTACAAAGGGAGTGGGAAGAAGTAAAAACTTATTTAATCCCACCCCTATTTTCAAATGACTCTTCCACCTTCCGAGTCGCTAAAACTTAAGAACAAAGACAAAAACCTCTAATAATATGAAATCATATATAATATCTTATTTCTTATCATACCTATTGTGAATGTCTGTCATTTGTTTCTGTATATAATGTACATATTTTTGTCATTGTATGTATCACTGTATATGTATATTTGTCTTGAAATTTAAAATTAAAAGGGTTCAGGGTCTTCTTCACTTTTGATGCGATCAGCTGATAACAGATGCAGTGTCACGTGACTATGCCACGACTGCAGCCAAGGACCTCCTCTCCCCTCCTCACCCCTCCCTCCCCCTGATGACAGTAGCTAGTCCCGCCCCCTGAATGTCTCAAAACAACTGCTGGGTCAAGGGCCGGAGAGGAGGAGGCGCAGGGCTGACGAGAGCGGAGAGAGAACCCGTCTGCAGCCTGACTTCACGCGTTTGTTTGCGGCTCACTGTAAAAATATCCTCCGCCGCGCATTTTTATAAGACTTCTCCAGCGACCCACTGCGCATGCTCAGAGCGACACCACGGCGCAGCGCTTTCAATCAGGAACTCCGAGGTGAGTCGCTGACAGCAATACGTACAAGGTGCTAAGTCTTGGCTTTTTTTGTTTTCCATCAAACCTCCGCGTCGTTGTGTATGGAGTCAGGTATTTTTCGTTTATTGTCGCTGTCAAACGAAGCGAAGCCCAGCGGTGTTGTCTATTATTGTGATTTTTTTAGTTCAGATCCCGGGACCAGAGCTGAACAAAAAGTGCCAGTGTTGTTCCTTGAGTCGTACGTGCTATAGCGTCCTCAAACGAATCCCAATCTATGCGTTTTTTATGAATCCAAATATCAACTATGACCTGGACAGCACTCAAATCTGTCTTCTCTTGAAAGTGTCACAGATCAGCGAACAAAGCCTGTTTTGTTGTGTCCTTTTGTGTGCAGATCTACCTTCATCAGACCCCACTGGACCAATTATCCATTCGGGGTTCGATGCAAATGCGATGCGAATGCGAAGAAAATGATGTAGAGGAAAAAAAAAAAAAAAAAGGTCTTGTTATGTTATTACTGCGTTATTATCACGCGTGGTAAACTTTTTGCATCCATGACAGCGTCAATGTGCAGTTTGAAGTCTCACTGATTGACATTCCTGTGCTGACATAATCTCGTTTACATTTACGACATAGGAACGAGAAAGCTGACCTAGCCCAGCCCAGCCCAGCACAGCCCGACCTCTCCAGTGACAGCGTAGAATGATAGCCAGCTGTAAATCATGCACAGTTGTATTATTGCCCTAAACAAAGTAACCTGAGGGCAAACGGACAAAGCCACAATGGAGTGATTTTAAAGATATGCACGTCTATTTCATTGTCCGGCACATTTGTTTATAAAAGATGTCATGAAAATATCACAGGGTAAACGACATTCCACCTGCCACAAGCACATGTAGATGGTATGTGATGGTATATTCAGTTTAATTAAGTTGTATCATTGTTTTTTTCAGACAACTTTCAAAGATGACTACTTCCTGGAGCGACCGGCTGCAGAACTTGGCCGACCTGCCCGCCAACATGGATGGACTGGCGATGAAAAAGTACAGAAGAGAGCCTTATCACAGGTGAGTGTTGGAGGAGTTTAGATGTATGATATGAAAACAATGGAAAAGAGCGGGGTTAGCTTTTGGATGAGAGAGAAGCCTTTGCCACAGCACCAGAACATAAGGATTATGTATTCATCTTAAGCAATCATCATGTAATGTAGTATGTCTATCTCCCTTGAACTCGGTAATAGGCTGCTGTCAGTTCAATGGGTCCCTTTGTTGAACAGATATAATCAGTTTTTATATTAGTTGGATTAGTTTATGTGCCTTTTCTTTTATGAAATGAGTGAGTTCCTCTACCATAACATACTGGTATCTGAACTGTCAAAACTTGTCAAAGAAACACATTGCTGCTGCTGCTGCTGCTGCTGCTGCTGTTGCTGCTGCTCTGCCCGCGGACTGTTAGCACGTGTTTCAGTCTAATTAGTTCTGAGGACCCAGAGTGTGTTTCTGATCGCTCCAGTCTTTGTCACAGAGCGCAACTATGTCTCATCAAAGTCACATTTGCACGGCAAGAAATTATGAAACATGAGGAAGTAATAGATTGGATCGAGTGGTTTTTATTGCATTTAGTCCTATTTCAAGAACTGTTCCTTTATTTACTCATTTCAAGGGAGACATTATTTGGATCTTTTTACAACAAGATCTTTCTGCTTGTCCCATTGGCAAATCTTGTTTTGAGACAATCAAAATGTGCCCAAATTAAAGTGATAGTCTGTAACTCTACATGAATTACAAATTTTAGGAAATGTGTTAAATTGACCTCCTGGCCTTAAATGTTGATATAAAATAAGACATTTTATTAATTCTAATATTACAGGTAAGTCCCGCCTTCCCTTCTCTTTGCTATAGTTCAGAATCCACGATGCCGTCCACATTAACCAATCGAGTCATGCCAAGGGCTGTCAATCATAGCGCTGATGCTCGTAGCTGCTCATGCTCAGTTGTTTGTTTTCGCGGAGCCTCCGGATTAAGCCTCCATTAGGCTCTGGAACTACATGAAAACTGAACAAAGAATTCTGAACATCTGCGCTGAGGTACTTATGTATATTCTGTACCTATATCCATAATCATTTATATACTGAACCTATATCCATAATCATGTATATACTGAACCTATATCCATAATCATTCATATACTGAACCTATATCCATAATCATTTATATACTGAACCTATATCCATAATCAGATCCTCTGCAGATGTGTCCTATAATGTGCAGTTCATGATAATAGCACTTCTGGGTTTCCCGCAATTGCTTTTTTTGTGCATAAAAACATTATTTTTTTAATTGAAACGTTAACAAATAATTCTGAAAACCTCCGTGCATGTGTATTAATAATGTATATGTATAATGTGTTCTCTGATTAACATTTGAAAGTAGACCAATCAGAAAGGAAGGGGGAGGGAGCTTGCTCACACATCAAGATTATCCTCCACAGCCAGTGCATTTTTGCTTTTCACTGTCTAATTTAATTTTAACTTTAATAGAGACTTCAGATAAAGGTGACCTATGTTTATTGTAGACAAAGACTAGTTCTTTAAAAAGGAGCTCAGCTGACACAATGAAGCTTACTGCAGGAGCCACATATCACATTGCAAAGGACTGGCAACTGGATGGGCTGAGATAAACAGTCTATCTATCAGAGGGAGCCGAGTCTCTGTCTGCGGGAGATTAGAGCAGTGGAAAAATCTGTCAGATTATTGCACAGCTGTGGTCTGAGGCTGACAGAGTAGCTAGTTAAAGCCCTGTCTAGTCCTGGTGCTGGGTGGTTGTTCTGAGGCAGTCAGTGGGCGCATCGCGGAGGAACCTCGCCCATTGTACATACATGTGACCTCTGGACCGGGATGAGCTCAGGCTTATCGTTCAGGACATGTGCGTGTTCAGGTCAAGAGTACAGAAGACTCCACACAGTAAACACACAATAACTCAGTGCTTCATTTTACAAACTCATTGACAAACACAATTTAGTCCATGATCAACTTTGCCTTCAAGAACCAAAAAAGTATAAAATGGTTATTCATAAGGTGAAAACTGAATCTCAAATAATTAGTTGATATGATATGAACCCACTGCCCTTTAGGTTATACTTTTAACAAATACATTTTCCAAAGGAGGGTTTAAGTCAAAAAGCATTGTTTAAAATGTATATATTATTTTGATCTAATGCCTACATTAGTCTTAGTTGAGTTAAACAAAACAATTGCATTTGTCAATGTGACAAAATGTGCTAAAACACAAATAGCACATACGTTTTTTGAACATTTGTCAAAATATTGGCCCCTTGTAATTTCAATTTAAACATGCCAAAAATAGATTAAGAATGTGTTTAATTGCTATAACACTTTATTAGGACTGTGTTGAAATTTGGGGAAAAAAACAGAACAAAATACCAATCATTGATATTTACGAAAAATAATTGCTACTAAAGTATTGGTTGGAGCAAGCTATTAATATAACTATATTGTACACCGTATTCATGGCATATTTCAGGATTAGGCACATTACTTGGATGTACTTACATTGTGCTCGGTTCTACCTGACTCGAGATGGTTCTGGATGTCTTTGAGGTCCCACAAACATCACCCGGTCCGATAACAACAACCGCACTGACTGACTGATGCCGCACAAAGGAGAATCCCACGGAAACCTTTTTGCAACAAGTCAAAAAGAAAAAAAAACAACACCAACTGAATGAAAGAAAGCCGAGCGCTGGAGAGAGAGTGAGCTATTGTTGTGCGCGGCTGCAGCGGTGTGGAGCTAGAGTCAGAGGCAGGGTTTAATTTACGCACAATGCTTTGTCGCTTCTCCGCTGAGTTGAGATCTAAATGGGAGCTTGTTCATTATGGATCCGCAGCAAGGTATTTCAAAAAAGACCATGTTGTATGAAAACAATTTACATTTAGACATTGGTCATCTTTCTACTCTATGGACCAATGGCTCATATGTGCTTTCTATGATTGCATTTCCTGTGTTCGATTTGATTCTCTAATCTGTTGTTGCCGAATTGAAATTGAATTGAAATGTATCCAGCTTATTGTTCGTCTCCCCTGCTTTGCCTTTTCAGTGCATTTCTCAGCGTAACTTGTATCTGGTAAAGAGGACCATCTGTCTTCATTCATTTTTGACAATTAATCGGTCAATGGCATTAGTTGGCTGTTTTATTTCAATTACCAGAATTTGACTTGTAGAAACTGTAAAAATGAGAAGATATTGAGAAAAATTGCTGAAGATCTTACTTTTTTCTTTGATACTCAAGCCATTTCCATAGTCAACTCTCAATTCATTTTTTTGCTATGAATCACTAATTCCTTCAATGATGTTTTTGTAAAAGCGTTTTGTGAGTACAGTTTGTGTACGGTATGTAAAAAACAATTGGCGCAATAATTTGACACGCCCCCTTTTACCCGATTAACCGATCGACACGGGCAATTGCGCAGACGACCAAGAATTCCTTCTGGCGACTACATCTCTACTGGTATCTTTAAAGTTAATATTGACATCTGTGGCAATACCCGAAGCAACCTTTATCCTTTTTGTTAGAATTGTTAGCGAAATAGAAGATAAGCAGCGAGAGAACATACCAAACATCCAAGTTTGTTCAGTGTATGTGACTTCTATATGCGTATGCAGCCAGTTACCAGGGCAGTGACACTCACACACACATATGTAAAATAATATCACTCTGCGTCTATAATAAATATTCTACAGTGAGTTGTAATGCGTCCAAATAGATTTATTGCCTTGTATTTTTAGCAGGCGGGACTCTTTAGTAACTGTCACATACCACATACTTTATATAATGCTTACAGCGTGGTGGTAGATTGCTATAGCAGCCATTTTTATTTATCTATGGTTACTGTATGTTTTTTCTATCTGTTATGAAATGTTTTGATTGCGTGTTCGCACAATCCCTGAGGTTTCTGCTTTTGTTGTGTTTTGTCCACAGAGTATTTGTCAACAGGAGTTTGGCCATGGAGAAGATTAAATGCTTCGGATTTGATATGGATTACACGTTGGCAGGTAAACTGGATGATGTGGGAGGATGTGAGTGTGGCTTCATAATAAAGCTGGGGTACCTGATTTTTACAAAAGGTGGAATGACGTAACCTGGCAAGAGCCAGATTGATGATTGTGTAGAACTCTAACGCGTTCTCCGCGATATCAATCTGGGATTTCTCCCGGAGAATCCTTTCGGGGAAAGGAGGGGTAAGCAGCAGAATACTTGAAGCTGATTGGGCGAAGTGACGCTGTGTGCCCGCCTACCAAGGTTGCCGTCCAGAAATGTACAAAGCGCCTCTCGCTGTTCATCTTTCAAAAAAGAAATTGGAGATTCTGCTAAAACTGACTTTGCGTCCGTCCTCCTGCGTAGCCATGTTTGTTTTGCTTCGGCCCGGCACTTCTTGCTTTCGTCAAACCCGGATATCCCGCCCTAAACCCCCAGACTGGCGCGTGATTGGCTCGCACACCCAGTGGTTCGACTCGAAAAGTGTAAGCGGGAGCGGTACAAGATGTATTCTCGAGTGTTTGTGAACTCACAAATACCGCGAGAATTCAGCTTGCAGGCAAGGTTAGGAATGACGGTCTCAAAACAGTTTAGTTCACTAGTTTTATGGTCTTCATAGACATCTGTCTCTGTCACAGCTTTAAAACCGAGAGGACTACTCTCCCTCAGCCAATCAGCTCTCAGCACAAAGCATCAAATCATTATGTTCTAATCAGATGTTGTGGTCTGACTGTAAAAATGTTTAGGGTGTGGAGATAAAAAATAATGTATTCTCGATTCAATTAAAATTGTAGGTACCCCATCTTTAACCCCACAAGCTCCAGAGTCTAGTCAGAAATATTATGTGTAATCCTGAAACGTTATTTATGTTATATTTAGACTTCTATCCCTTTAAAACTAACAATTCAAACATGTAAGAAACATTCAGGGACACTTTTGTCGTAACCCATGTTGGGCTCTTTCAGATTGAAAGGGCTCAAAGAAGAGCCCTAACATGTAATCTCTGTAATCTTGGTTACAGTTGACTGCGTAATGTTATGTTGCCAGGACATAAACATTTAATTAAATATATAGATGGCTTTATATGTGAATTATAATCATAACCTGCTCCTTTTGTAAAGCGTGTCCAAAAAGTGTCCCAAAAGCGCATATAAGTATATTTTATCAGTATTGTTATGATTATGATTATTATACACAATTATATAAAATTATTTTCAAAGAATTTTGTTGGAATGTTGACAAGTCATGTCCTGTGCTAATACAGAATCGACTATTTTAACCACCGTATTTTGCGAATTATAAATCACATAGTGATTTTTGTCATAGTTTTGCAATTTATACTCTGGAGCGTCTTAAAGGAGCAATATGTAATATTTGCATGTCAAGTCATTATTAAATGACCCTAATATTTCAAAAGGCATTAATAAATCATGTTCTTTTCAAACACATCTTTAACTGATAACAGTAGTTCATCCGAGATATTTGAATATCAAAATTAGTTTTACGACCCGTAAAAGTTGTTATTGTTTTGATTTTGATGTCCTACCCTCCGCCGTTTCGCCAATCAGGAAGTGTCATGTAAGTCCGTGATCGGGTTGCCAGAACTCCGTTCGGCTCACTAATCTCAGAGGTAAAATAACATGTGGCGCAGAACTAAAAAATGTCTTGTTATGACTCTCAAATCATTAATGACAAAACAAAGACTAAAACGAGGATTTATATCGGGATGCCTTTGAACAATTGAGACGGCCGATAAAAGTTTACGTGTGATGCAGAATTTACTAGTTTCAGTCCGTTCTTCACAGTGACTCTAACTGTGTCAATCGGTGGTCTAGTGGTCTAAACTGTGTGCTTACGATGCAGGAACCCGGGTTCGATTCCGGGCTATGTCTTTTTGTATTTAATTGCATGTTATCACATTCTATGAGAGATTGCTCTAAAAACGGTAAAAGACGAAGGTCAAGACGTTGTTTTGCAGATTATAGCTTAATTGTAAAAATAATCATTTAAGACCACATGTACCCCAATTAAAATAATGTCAGTCTCTTTTTGATGTGGGACTTTTACATGTTTGTCTAAAAAATAGGGAATAAATAAAATTGAAAGGTGATACCTCTTGAGCAAACCCTGATGTTGATGCGCTGAAGAAATACGTTCCAACATTCATTCTTCCCACTATTTTGGACATCAATTGCTTATGTATTTTGCATAAACTATGTATAATTACATTGCTTTTATTTTGTTTTTGTTTTTTTCCTCAAATGTCCAAATAATAATAATAAAAAAACATGAATCAAAACCTTCATTCAGCATTAGCACGGCTGTCATGGCAATGTGAATGGAGACGGACGAACAACTGATAAAATAATTCCCTGTGTTTGCTGCTGGATTTGGTGTGAATCTGGCAACCTGAGTCAGGGAGAGTGGGAGAGGACTAAAAAATATTGACTGTGACTGCAGTACCACTTTTGGTCAGATTTTTACATATTGTTCCTTTTAAGTGAAATTATTAAATTTAATTTCAAGAAGATTTCGTTGGATTTAGTGATTAGATGGATAGATAGATGATAGATGATAGATACTTTATTGATCCCCGTAGGAGAAATTAGGAGTTTGAATTAGAGATTAGGAATTGGGGGTGGGAACCTCAGGGCACCTCATGATACGATACGATACGCAATACAAAGCTCACAATAGCGATTATATCACGATATGACGATTATCGATATATTGGTCAGAAATATACTGTTATAGAAATATTTTAGTAAAGCAATCTGAATGAACACAAAATAGTTATAAGTGTAAGTTATTAACTAATTCTCAACTCTGGATTCAAATACAGCACATATTGGCATAAATAAAAGACAAATGTTAAGTGAAAAAATACACTATTTCATGATAAATTGAATGGAGATGCATAATGTAGCCATATATTAAGTATTGAATAAAAAAATAAAATTATATATATATATATATATATATATATATATATATATATTTTTTTTTTACTTGGCAAAAGCATATTGATAATCGATCGCGTGAGAAAGTATCACGATACATCACGATATCGATATATCGTCACACTCCGATTAGGAATGACACTGATCGTTTGGTAAACTTGTTGCATGTTCTACTCTGGCAAGATCAAATTCAGATTGATTGTTTTTTTATTTATTCATCCTTTTACTTTTGTATTGCTGTTGTTGTAGATTAGTGTTGAGGGGTTGATTTCGTACAACTCTGGAGCTGAGTTCATAGAGCCACAAGTTCTCAGTGTCACATTAATTATGCAGTCACCATAAGTGTCAGTGAGTGTAATCTGATCAACTTGAACTATTTTTGGTTGTTACTTTCGATCAGATACAAATGAATGCGACAGAACTTCTGCAAAAGAATCAAAATAAAACATTTTCAGGCTTTAAGGAACAGTGGTTTGTGTTATGATGGTTCTTACTGGTTAAATAGTCGTTACAGGAGTCACCCACCGTGAAACAGCGACCACAGCAGAACCGGATTTTGTGCATAAAAACATGTAAATACTGTATTTATTCACTAATGATTGTTTTTTCAATAATTGAGTATTAATACAAAACTAAGTATGAACATAATAACTCCAACCGACTCTGGAATCAAGGAAATCGGTCTTGAAATAAGTCAATAATAATAATACATTTTATTTATATTGCACCTTACATTTCCAGAAAAACTTAAAGTGCTACAGATTAGAATACAATGCCACAAACAAAGCAAAAACATCAGAAGTACATTAGCCTGGTCGTACCACACCATAGTACAAATTACATTTCGTACCAAGGTCTGGAGGTGCTCCATTGAGCTCCGTGAACAGGTGGAGGGGTAAACTCCTTTTGCAAATTGAAACGATTGCATCTGAGTTTACCGTGACGTATGTAATGCGCCCGAGTCTGTTGTTAGTATTTAGAATTTAGCCTAGCCACCTCCTTTGCCGCTAACGGAGCCCGTGGGGAGTAGCACCAAAAAAATTTCTAGCAATAACATATTGCTCCGGCTTCAATTTCTTGATAGAACCAGACCGGATTACTTTACTATTGTATTTCTCGCCATTGCCAAACTACAACCTTCCTGTTCAACGCAAACTTTTGACATCACTCACAACTAACTACAACACCCGCCTTCCGCGCTCTCTGAATGGTCGGTCGAAATTCAACCGATTGTAATCGCTAACCCAGGGACCAGATCCAGACGTTACATGCAGTGAAATGATGATTGAGCGGAGTGTACGGATGGCTAAGGCCAGGCCAGAAGTACATAAATCAAAAAGAAACGTTTGAGTCAAGTAACTTAATTCTAGAAATCTGCCAAAAAGGCCAGTTTTACAATTTGACTGACTTTTTTGCGGTTTTGTAGATACATGTTTAAACAATTTGGGGGAAGGTTTGTGACCCAATAAATGATCCCACAAACTTTTTTATGTACAATATCTTAATATAGTATATTGCAGTCCAAAGGAAAAAAAGAAAAAAATTATCCGATTAAGGCTATAATGTCCAAAACGTCATTAAATAAATACATTTTGAGTGTGCAATGATTACTGGTTTTGAGATAGTTCCTTTTGTATCTGTTCCTCTTGCATTTGGACTTTTTGTTGTGAGTTACCTACTGTTGTTGAACATAAATAATGTTGCCATAAGGTCCATTGTGTTTGGATTCAAGTATAATTCTACATAAGCCCGTCACAATTATAATGAATGGATGGATTTTTTGTGATCCTTTTTATCAATCAGTAAATTTTCTTTGCAAAAGTGGCAGGAACTTTGCTGTTTTGTGATCTGATTGAATGGGTAGTTCTTAATTCGTTTTCTAGATGGTTGAAATAAGTCACATTGAAGGCTCAAAAATGTTAGATTATCCTGATTTAGTTTTAGTCATAGAATTTAATATCATCCATCAACATGTATTTGGCCAAAATCTGCATTAACGTTAACAAAGGCTAAATACAGTAGATGTCGTTGTAAATTGTCACTGTTAGTTTCTAGTT